GGACAGGAGGGGACGAAGCGAAGCGACGTGGTGTGGCGTGGCGAGAGGACAGGAGGGGACGAAGCGAAGCGACGTGGTGCGGCGCGGCGGAGGCCGAGAGTGCCCACGAGCCAGCTGGTGCTTTCGAAGGAACAGAACACTGGCTGCGAAGAGTTTCTGCCACTGGAGAGGCGTGCCCGCTCAAAAGTAGCCGGGTTCAACTTTGATACGGTTCTCACGCGTTGCAATGTTGTTTTGGACCCTCGAAAAGTTTGTGCTTCCGTAAGGTTTGTCACTCGTTTCATCGAGAGTCATTCCAGGAAGATGACTGTGAATGACTCCTACACGGCACGTTGCAGCGTTAATGTTCTAGACGTGCCTCCGCGGGCAGACAGGAAAAGAGGTTGAGCCCATTTGCAAGCTCTCTGTTCCTCCGATGGCAGCTGAGTGGCCAACGTTCCCACCATCGTGTGGTCTTCTCAGAACGAGCTTAGAGTGGATCAACTTAATTGTACCAGCATCAACCCCCGGACATCACCCAAGAGCAAAAACGCCAACTGCTCCTCCATCATCTCACGGCGAATTCTCCTTTTTGTATTCGGTACCGAACCAGTCTGGCGTCACCAAAGGTTGTCTTGCCGCATCGCGTCAGAATCCGTGAAGTGTTCTTAGGCAAGTTTCGCTCTCACACACAATTGCCACCGCGCAGGTAAGTACAGTTCGTCGCACGACAAATACTTATAATTGCTTAAAAAAAGACTGAGCGACTATACAAGATGGCGCCGTGATTTTGTGTCTGATTGAAACAAACTACCAATGCGGAAAGATTTTGTCTGATGTATTCAAACAATATTTTGTTATTGTGTAGCTTTAATAATAATCGAGAGTAGAATACAGACGGTGGCCCGTGGTAAGGCGATATTCTCGGAAGGAGGAAAGGGTTTTGCTGACGGCGGAGCACAAAGTCTTTCCGGAAAGGGAGCTCTGGGCGAGGGCAGATCAGAGGGGGCGAATTTCTAATTTCCCCCGTAAATACGCAATCTCCTGTAATTTGACTAGCAAAGTAAAATGTGAGTGAAGGGGACAAGACAGGAGCGGCGGAAGAAAAATATCCATGAAGGAATATCCAGTGTTGATATCGGGGATTACTCATAAATGTAGGCGTGAAGGTATAATTATAATCTTTATAATTTTGCCACAATATCAGAAATGTATTTTACGAAAGAAATTCAGTTTTCAGAAATTATTCAGCTTATTCAGAAATTCAAATTAGATAAACTTTAACATGTTGTTCCTACTACTTCCTTGATTATGTATGAAAGTTACGCGATACAGACTACGCTCACACAGAACTGTGTATTTCAACCTAAATATATAAGGCGATCCTCGTCAGGATAGTTTCCAATGCGGACATCTGGAATTACATTACTAAACATCTCACTTCATTAATCGATTCAGAAAAATGTGCACAGATTTTTTCTGTGAGTTCGGGGAGAAAATTAATCAGTATATTTTAAGTAATATTTTTGATTGAAATATCCACGTATATACATATACATTAGCTTATATTTCATGATGAGAGATTATATGTAACGTTTTCTCAATTACGTTTTCCATTGGGTTTTACCAGAGGTGCATTGAAATGCAGAACCGCCATTCTCTTCAATTCCGGATTTCCGGCTCGTTCGAACGTTCCACGTGCAAGTTGGCTGGGACGTTATGAAAACGACATTAATTCCGAATGTATTTGGCGGGCGAGCGAATGTCAAACCCGCGTTCACGATTTCGAGGAACCCGCAATTCCCTCGGAAACGAGTAACTGGGGCGTATGGTGTAATCCACTTTTGATAACGTGCGCGTGCCCTCGTCGGGATAACAATTCCGCAATTTCCGAGCCGCTCCGCCAGGGCGCGGGCCGGGCGGCCGTCGCGGAGTCGCGAAACGACGGCGAGACAACCACTCGAACCCGAGGTACGGAATAACCGCCTTAGCGCGTCGGGCGCAGATTGAAATCCGCGCAATTACAGGAAACGGTTATCCAAACAGAGGAACGCCCAATGGATTTCCAATTTTTTGCGAGTCACGCCGCAAGTCATTCCGCGTGGGCGCAAATATCCCGAGACCCGCGCCGGAGCTTTCTCTGTTTACGCCGGCTGAAATGATTAAGCATCGGCATCCGGTTATATTAAATCCGCGCTTCGAGGCGGCTAAAGCGGTGACTGCGCGCTGCGCCCGCGAGGATCGATTGGTGACGTCGCGGTGCCAACGCGGGGTCAACCGGGGTGTCGTCGAGCGCACGTGCGCGCGGCAGCCCGGGGCCGGCCGCACTCGAGCGAGTCTTTTGTTCTTCCGGCCCGGCAAACACAACGTTGGTCATTCATCCCGTAAATACAGTGTATGTTGTATCCGGGAGGTGATTTCTGGGCAGGGTCGAGTGAAGAAGATTCTTCGGAATGCTCTGGAATCCACATGTGGAAGTCCGGCGGGAAATTGATAGCACCCGCCAAGTTGCCTCGGTTCTGGCGATACTCTCGTCGTTAGCCTCAAGGTGTAGGCAGTGAAAAGAAGGGAAAGGAGCTCCCAGCCGCCCCAAACTTAGTTCGGGAGGTCCCGCTTTCGTCGTGGCAGTGGTCCGATACTCGGGGCAAAGAGGAGACACTTGTCCAGGCGCATGTGAGTGGCGCATTCATTTCACTCCTTGATTGGCCTGTATTGTTAGTAGCTTTGAGCTGGCAGGGCGGCTCCAACCCAGGCATTGAATAGGGCGGTGGCCGAGAGCGCAAACTACTTTCCGCGGGACCCGGATACCAGCCTGTCGGCGTTCTTGTGTGTCGGTGGGGGTTATGATAAAAGCGAAAAGCTCAGATGCAAACTCCGGGGACTTGCGCCCCCTAATAGAGCAAGTATTTGTGTGGAGTGATAGCCCACACAGGATCCATACTGAATCCGAGAGGTGGCAATGTTTGCCTCTCAATGGGCCGTCAAATCCAACACCGACCTTCGTCTGAGCTTCCAGGGTTTTCTCCCTGCAGGGATATTTCCTCCAGCGGGCCTTCACGTCAACGTGGATAAATTTTAACCTTCAGATTAGTCTCCAGACAAATGCGGTAATCTGCTGCATGCAAATGGGTAAGGAGAGAGTAAGCGACGGGAGTGAGGCAGAAAAGATCGCGCGCGGACTGTGACCCGTTTGTTAATGTACTACTCCACTATTTGCATTCGGTATTGATCGGTGGGCAAGAAACTACGTATCTGAGCAACCGGCCGCTAGAGTTATTCTCCAGGCATACTATTAAAAACAGAATCTGAAGTAGGATTGTGATAAGAGATTTAGAAAATCTTCCGTTTTGTCTTGAAAATTTAAAGCGTTATTAAGAGCAAAATTAAGAACATTATTAAACGCCACAAGAGGTTTGTTTTAAAGTGAGTGATAATTCACAATCTCATTGTGTGTTTTACATTCCACAGGTACCCAATAACAGTCGCGTGCACATATTTGATATAATGATGCTGAAGTTTCTGAAACTACAATTCCTATATATGAATGTGAATTCTAGTGAATATATGTGATATTCTTATTTCTCAGGTGTCTTCTCTAACCGGCTATCAAGATGAAATATCGGAATAAGTATTCGGCTATACAAATGTTTACAAAGCATCTCTTCGTGTAAATTATTTTATTCAGAGACGATGCAGTCACAAACTACACAGTATTATTATTATTATTATTATTATTATTATTATTATATGATCTTAGTACTATTACACCTCGCAGGCATATGTTTAAATATGTGTATGTATTGCAATAATTTGAGAAAATTTCTATTTCATTCAAGGTAACGTCGCCGTAACACCAAACGGAATCTGTACATGATTGACATGTGTGACTGACTCCCCGATAAAAATATTGTAAATAGTCGTCTAGTAAAAATTTTTACGAAGAAGGAAACGAAATATGAAAAATAAGAGAACATTACTTAAAAAAATAGGAGTTTTGAAACGCGAACTTTCATTCCGCGTACATCCGACTCTGTAGTAGACTGTTAATATTGCAACTCGCTCGTAAAACCGCCCGTGGATCGTTCTATGCTCCTTTAGGGCCCAGGGGCTCGTATACCGTTCACACAGAGAAGACGACATTGTTGGCAACGCGACTTCCTGGCCAATGTTCATCTCACGCCCACTACTCCGTCATTATTCGCCCTGTTATCATTGCCAATTCTTCCCTCATATGGTATGAATTCAGAGTAGTTAGCAAAAATTGTAACTCATAAACACTTGTTTCTATATCTTGATAAAAAGGTTTGTGAATCTACCATTCATTCCCCTGGATGTCTTAATACAACATGCTGATGCTAAATGGAGAGCAGTGTGCAACATATTTAAAGGCGGGTGTACTTATACTTTTCCATCCTTGTTTTGGGAGAGAGCGCAGATCACATATCGTTACAGAATACGTAGAAAGTGGACGACAGGAACGGTGGAGTCGGTTTACATAATATGGATGTGAATGTTGGTAGATTGAAGAATTGTGACCAAGTGGATTCTATCATCCAACTTTACAAATAGGAACGTTCTAGAAGTAATTCAAAACGAAAAAAAGTTGACATTTTAAAATTACGCTTTTTTGATGGTACGAGTAAGAAATGTGTTTATAGAAGGAAGTGTCCAAGGAGGTACTTTCAAAAAATGTACGTCGTGGTTGCGTAGGCTTTAGAGCGGCCGGAGTTTATGTTATCTAGGCTATCCGGAACGAGCCGCGACACTGACATGGTGGCTAACGTTTCGGCCAGCGTATTGTGACCTTCCTCAGAGCGTGCTGCTGTACTCCTCATGGCTTGTCAGCAGTATGCTCTGAAGAAGGCCACAATACGCTGGCCGACACGTTAGCTACCATGTTAGTGATGCGGCTCGTCCAGAATAGCGTAGACAACATGTACGCAAGTCGATTATGGCACAAAAATATAATCATGAATTCCCTACAATCTGCCGTGACTTGTGAAAAAAAATCAGAAGGAATAAATATGACGAGAGTTTTAGAATAAAATATTTTGAAGATAATTAGCATTAAGTGGAGAGTTGCGTCAACTTATCCTGTGAGGATAAATAACTTATATTTTTGTAAAAAGGAACCAGATAATTTTTATCGATGAATACGGGAAAGGAATGAGGCAGTACCCAATTTTATTAATATTAAATATCTGTTTTTCTTGAAAAAAAGGGGGTTGTAAAACAACTGATCAATAAAGAGAGTCCCTACAATGGGTTTTTACACCATAAATAGAAAAATCGGAAATAGAGTACCTCCAATGGGAATTCTGAAACAATTTTTTCGTCTTCTTCGACTTCTGGAGTATATTGTAGAGCGAAGCGTGCCGGTGGTACATCTACGGAGGGCCGGCTGAAGCGTCGTCGCGATAGGGGGCGCTGTCAAATAGGCGCTCGACAATGCTGGGCCTGCCGAGGCGAGGAGTGGTTCGGGAATAAAAATATCTCTCTTAATTTGTAATTAAAAACAGACGCGGCCTCCAGGAAAGGGCAGGAAGGAAGATGAGGAAGGGTCAGGGCTAAGGGAAGGGAAGGGCAGGGTAAGGGCAGGGATTGGAAGGGATGGGATGGGTATGGGGAAGGGAAGGGAAGGGGATGGGATGGGAAGGGAAGGGCAGTGCAGGGCAAGGAGGGAGCAGGAAGGAAAGCAGGGGAAGGGTAGAGTAGGCGCGGGGGGCGGGTCGCGGGGCGCGGGGGCGGCCGCGGGGGCGGGGGCGGGGGGCGGGGTGCGGGGGCGGGCGCGGGCACGGGCGGTTGTGTTTTAGTAGCGTGCGATCGCCGGGATCCGTTTGGCGGCGTCGCCCCGGGGGTGGGCGCAAAGGAGGGCTTAGGGCGGGCGGGGTCGGGGCGCACATAATAGAGGGGCTGCGCGTCATTGTTGGCTTCCGGTGGCGCAGCGGAGCGGCCGGCGACAAAGGGGGACGCGAGACGGCAACTCCTTCGCTCGCAGCCCTCGACCTTCGCCTGCCAGCACGCGCTTGTGCCTGTGGGGCGCGCCACGGCCAATAATTAACTCGGTCTCGACGTTTCTCCACAGGGCGTTGATCGCACTTTTTCAATTGAAATATTGCAATAACTGAAACTCAATGGACGTATTTCTCACAAATTAATAGCAATTCTCCAAAATCAACTAAATCTAGTTTTCAAGAGAAGCTTTATTAATGAAATTAGAATAAATGGAATGGGTTAAATTTATATATCGCTAGCTCATAGTCATGTACAGGTGAAGAAAAAAATGTTTGTAACACCTTCGTATTCTTGATGTATAGATTAGGCTAATTTTAGTGCTGAAGGGATTTCTATCTTTCAATTTTATTGGGTTTGCTAGCTGATGATATTTGTGTAAGAAGATATTTTTTGGCGGTGTGAATTAATTAGAATCCACGGAAGCCGACCAATAATGTGGTTAGCACAGTAGACATACAATTTTAAAAAGGACATTTTGAAGACATAATCGTTCTATTTTTACGTGAGCATGCTTTACTTCTCGGAATTCCTTTCCTAGAATTTCTTAAGAAATGCTGATCTGTCTCGTTGAAAGAAACGTTTACCTCAAGGCAGAAATGGTGAGTGGAGGTGGGATTATGAAGACCTTGAATGTGCTGTGGA